GAATAAAATTAAAAACGCAATGAATATTAATGCAGTGAATAAAAATAGAAAAATACTCTAATCTATCTAATTAACATGAAGTCGAAATTGATAAAAAATTTCGCAAAAATTATTAACATGAAAATATCAGTACTTATTGATCTTGTATTCTATTGAAGGGGCTTGTATTCCTGTAAATTGATTGAAAATCTGTAATGCACGTAAACTATAGATTTTCAGCGCTGACAGTTAAATTTGGAACACAGCCAAGATTTGTAATTGCGAGTATTAGCTTGAAATATACACATGTATCAATGTTTACGCATATTGTCTTCCTTCTTATTCTAATGAAGATAGAAAAAAGAATAGTCGTGAACGTTCGCGTGAATGTTCATTTTATAGGTTCATTCTTATTGTTTAATCAAATGTTAAATACAGAATCAATGAAGTTTTCAACTTTCACGAGCTTTCTTACTTCAAAATACTAACGCAGCTTTCTGATTGATTTATGACATTTTAAGGCTGTACTTAAGTTTTAGATACGAATATAAGAATTGACATTATGTGAATACCGGTGTGCTTTAGATAGCACTGCTGCAATATTACACATATCGATTGTTATTTACTTGATAAAATGCAACACGTGCTCTCATAAATTTTTCTACTGATTATTTCGTATTTAATTTTAACTTTAAACGTTACGAAGCACGTCAGAAAGTGAGCGTGACTCAATTATACCGCCTATACCGAAGAAACGCGATGTACGTATATAATCTATACTTTATTATCTCCATATGACGTTTACTATAACCTCTAACGAAAAAAAAGTATACATTTTCACCAATCACGAACACTAACGTTATTCTTTCGAATATTCGGCGATCGGTAAAAGTGTTATCCTCGCACTCTATATTTGTCTTCGTATACCTTATTAAGTGTCATAGACACCTACCCTGGAAAAATCGTAAAAACGACATATCCGTCAAGGCAGCCCACTTTCGTCTGAGCGCGAGTATCCTAACACTCCTGACACACTGCATCCTCACAAGGCGAGACACCTATTAGAAAAACTTACTACGATTCGAATATTTCGAACGCCCGTCCTTGTGCTACATAGAATAACAAACGCAGTTTCTTGTAAAGTGCTAATCACCATAGTTGCACGTAACCGACCGGCCATCATTAATCAAACGTTTTAGCGTGATCCATCTCTTGTAAAAATTCATCTGGGAAATTCATTTTAAAATTGAGAAATAGATGGTGCTTTTTAGTAAGAAAATCCACAGTATGACATTTCATCTTTGCCTGACATTAGTACATTTTTTTTTATCGTTTTTTTATTATATATTAATAAAAATATAGCCTTCAGATATCAATAAGGTTTTATGATTCACTGTGTTACACTCCATCACCTATGTTAGTTTACCTCTTGTATCTTATTCTGATTTTGTTACTGTTAGGCTTTGTAACAGCAATTTTGCTGACGTTTAACTATTTGCAATCGTCTGTTGTATTTACGTTAACTATAGTCTATTGTACCATATTTTTATGTCTGCTACTGTGTTAACATGTAGTCTTTTTCATAGATTTGCAATAAACTAAATTAAATTAAATTAAATTAAATATGTCTCTTATTCAGGGAAAGCACCTGAATTCTATTGATTACCGCGCGGGTTAAAGGAAATAAAGAAAAGAAAAGAGGAGAAAAGGCGGAGAAAAAGGAAAAGGAAAAATGGAAGAAAGGACAAGAGGGAAAAAAAGGAAAAATAAATATTAAAAAAAAAAACAGAAAAAAAGAACAGTAAAAAGGAGCAAAGGAGAAAAAAACTTTTAACACGATATATCAATCTAGCGCTATGTGCAAGGAATAGAAGTAACTTTGTTTCAGATTTTACAACA